AGTATAATATTAAATAGTATAATATAGTATAGTATTATAGTTCTATTTCAGTGGTAATTTCCCTATCCTGTGACAAAATCATGTTACGATTAATTTGAAAATAATTCAATTTTCTTAATATACTATAATATTGAATAGTATAGTATAATATTATAGTATATATTTTTCAATATTTAAATTAAATTGAAGTACTTAGAAGTACAATAAATATCGTTTTAATACTGAAGTAATTTAAATAGACTGATGATAGGGATATAAAGATAGGTGTGTAGTATAAAGATAGTAAAAAGATTCTGTTTTTGTATTTAATATTTTTCATTTGAATGATGCGATTGGAAAAAGGAAAATAGATACTCACCGCGCTAATTGGAAAGCTTGGCAAACTGGTGATTGATGGAGAGCTCGGTTGAGGTAGTCTCAGTTCACTGGCCGCAATTGCTTGTTGAAGCTGATCGTACTTTGGTCCACGTAGATATCTCTCCAAGCATAGGACAACCGTTTGTCCAGTGCGTCTTAATACCTCGACGGCCTCGTGATTTGAGTAACCCTGTAAAGAATGACCGTCCACCTCCACTATTCTATCGTTTATTTGGATCTTGTTGCTCAGATCCGCAGCACTGCCCTCGCTGATGCTCTTCACGAAGATACCAGAGAGCTCCTCTGTAATTGGAATAAGGTAAGATGATATTTAGAGAAAGATGCCTCCAATTGCTAAGCAAGATACTATAACGATATCACATTAAATTTTTAAACTTTCGAATTTCTTAAATTTTGGACTATCGAATTTTTGCTCCTTCCAATTTTTAAATTGTTAATCTTTTGAATTTTCAAATCTTTCGACATAAAAATTTGAGAATTCTCGAAGTTACAAAGTTTTAAAATTTTAAGCTTACAAATTTCCAAATTCCCAAATTACTAAATTGTCAAATTGTCAAATTGTCAAATTATCAAACTGTCAATGTTTCAAATCTTAAAATTTCTAAATCTTCGAATTTTCGCTTCTCCGAATTTTTAAATTTTCAAATTTTTAGACTTAAAGTTTTCAAATTTTCGAAGCTACAAAGTTTTAAAATTGTAAACTTAAGCTTACAAATTTCCCAATTCCCAAATTACCAAATAGTCAAATCGTGAAATTATCCAATTGTCAAAGTTTCAAATCTTAAAATTTCTAAACCTTCTACTTTCCACTCTTCCAAATTTTCAAATTTTTAGACTTAAAATTTTCAAATTCTCGATGTCACAAAGTTATAAAACTTCAAGTTTACAAATTTCCAAATTTTCAACATTTCGATATTCCAAATTCCCCAATTCCCAAATTAAAAAATTTCTAAACCCTCGAATTTTCAGATTTATAAATCCTCAAATTCCCAGAGTAGCAAATTTCCAAATTTTCGAATTCTTATAAATACGATATACTACGAAAAGTACAAATGCAATTTAAAAAATGTCCACCACGTCGCGAGGATTCAAAATATCTACAAAGTATTATATTTTCCCGAGCTTTGGTCTGCCCGCGCGTCAGAAATAATTCACGCGAAACAACGGGAATCATAAATCTTTCGTACGCCGGGGATTACCTTTCTCGCACACGTATCCAGCGATGGTGATCCCGAGGCCGTAAATGTCCTTCTTAAGCTCGACGGTGAACCGTTCCATTTCTGGCAGTGAATTAACATCAATGGTGTCCATAGTGAGCACCGGAAGCTCCGGGATCTGCACCGGAACCGTCGGTATCACTGGCATCGCTCCAATTGGCATTGGATTGCGTACTACGTCCATGATGAGACCTGGTCTTGCCTACCGAACAACCGTCCTTTCGAGATAATGCTTCGAGGACAATAACGTCGAATGATATGCAAATGCGAGTTGCTCGAAGAATCAACGGGAAGGAGACGCTGATAATACAGAGAGCACAGTTGCAAAGTTGGAAGTTTTAAATCGTAACTTTAAAATTCCGCAGCAATTCGTTTGAAGATACAAATTTGATATATCGTACTTTCTTCCTCGTTTCAAGGCGAAAATTCCGAGAAAAATATTGGAAGAGGATTTTGGTGCAAGGTTTACGAGTTTCGGTAAGCGGACTTGTCTACTATAGAATAAAGTCAGGAAGAGGAAATGTGTCTTGCCTATGTAGACTTTAATCCTTTCGATATTATAAACATTGAAGAACTGATTTTCATAAATTATCAAAGTATGTTATTCTTTTGTTCAATATTTTTATAAGGAAATATTAAAACTGGAGAACTATCGGAGGATAAATATCTTTGCAAAATGTAATATTCATGGGAAATATGCTTTCATGGGTTGCACCGAAAGATGGTGCCTAATTATTGATTTTCGTTTCGAGATTTATCAGGGAATTAATATCTTTGTACACTCGGTACACACAGGACGCATGCATCACTGGGTTGAGCTAAAAAATGGTACCTGTTATGAAGAATACAATGGACTAAAAGCGGAACAAAGGGATATGAGATGAGGACGACGAAATATCATAATATACGGTCGATTCACGTCGGTTGGACCAAAAAATGGTATCCGCGACGAAGGACATGGCAAAATGATAGCGGAATAAAGGGACATAAGACCAAGAGCAACGAAATTCGTTACCCAGATCAGAAAATGGCACCTCTGACGAAAGATAGAGGAATGCTAGCGGAACCAAGGGACCTAAGGCCAAGGACGACGAAATTCAATGGCCAGACCAAAAAATGGCACCTCTTATGAAGAACACAGCGAAATGACAGCGAAACTAAGGGCCTAGAGACTAATGACAACGAAATGTCATAAGATTCGGCCGACTGACATCGATTGGGCCAAAAAATGGTACCCATGGCAAAGGACACAACGAAATCACAGCGGAACAAAGCAGTATAAGACCAAGAGCAACGAAATTCGTTGGCTAGACCAAAAAATGGCACCTCTGATGAAGGACACAGCGAAATGGCAGCGAAACCAAGGGCTTAGAGACTAATGACAACGAAATGTCATAAGATTCGGCCGATTGACGTCGGTTGGGCTAAAAGATGGTACCCACGACGGGGGATACAGAGGAATGATAGCGGAACCAAGGGGCCAGAGGCCGAGGGCAACAAGATTTATTAGTCAGACTTAAAAATGGTACCTCTGGCGAAGGTCACAACGAAATGACAGCGGAACCAAGGAACAAGAGACCAAGGACCACGAAATGTCATAAGATTCGACCGACTGACATCGATTGGGCCAAGAAAATGGTACCCATGGCAAAGGACACAACGAAATCACAGCGGAACAAAGGAATATAAGACCAAGAGCAAGGAAATTCGTTGACTAGACGAAAAAATAGCACCTCTGATGAAGGACGCAGCGAAATGACAGCGAAACCAAGGGCCTAGAGACTAATGACAACGAAATGTCACAAGATTCGGCCGATTGACGTCAGTTGGACCAAAAGATGGTACTCACGACGGGGGATACAGAGAAATGATAGAGGAACAAAGGGACCAGAGGTCAATGACATGGAAATGCATCACTTGGACCAAAAAATGGCATCCCTGACAAAAGACACAAATAAATGATAGCGAAACCAAAGAACTGAAAGTCACTGACGTCGAAATTCGTCGCTCGGACCAAAAAATGGCACCCGTGACGAAGGACACAATGGAATGATAGTGGAACCAAGGAGCAAGAGAACAAGGACGTCGAAATATCAAAAGATTCGACCGACTCACGTGCATCTCGACGTCGGATTCCTGAGAGTACATGTAGCCATTGTCGTACGCGTTGTCCGGCTGCACGTGGCGCATGCTGTGCGTCTCCGGCACGCCGTGCACCAGGTGGCGGTCCAGCTCGTCGGGGTCACCCAGAATCTTCGTCGGTACGATCGGAGCGTGGCTGCCGAGTGCCTGAAAACGCCACGTTCGATTGGAATCTCTGGCCCGAATCTGGGATTGGGGACAATTCCAGTCATTCGAATATATTTCATCAACGAATCTTGCGTTTCTTTCTGGAAGGGTCATGTCACATGGGGTTCTCGCACAGGGTGATTGTGGGGTTCTTATATAGGGTGTATATGTCCTTGAACTGGAAATGGTTGGTGAACTGTCTCGTGAAGAATATTAAAGTTGTCGAAAGAATTTAATTTGAAAAATTGTATGATACAGAGAGGGGTAGATTAGGTTGTTAATAAGTTTTGTATAGTTATAGTGATGCGAGAGATAGTGAATTTTTTAAATGAAATTTTGTGGCTTTTGGTTCATAATATTAATTCATTTTGTTTATCATTGGCTACAGTGAAATTAAATGTCAGTGAAATGGAATGAAATGCAAGTGTATTGTATAGCTGTGCTATTTTGTATAGTAATTCAGAAATTATTTAAACTAATTTCTTTATATTTTTGGAAATTTTCATTCGTGGAATAATTAAAATGAATTATTTTTTTTAACACTAGAATTACTATAACATGTATCTATGTATATTAATTGTGAACTAATATTATACTTAACTATACTATACACAGATAATAATAATTAAAGTGGTATGTGGGATATTTATACTGAATTTTTTTTTTTTAATACTAGGATTACTGTACCATGTATCTATGTATAAATAGTGAATTGATATTATACATAAATATACTATACACAGATAATAATTGAAGTGATATGTACAATCATATTTTTATTCGAATAAAAATCAACGTTAATTTTGTTAAAAGCACCTGAAAACTCTCAGTAATTTCAAAAATGGACACGAGATCAATCATTTTAATTGCTTTTCTGTTTTTAGTATTAATGAAATTTCTTTTCATGAACAGGATTACTGAGGTATGCTCAATCGTATAGATGATGTAGAACGAGAGTACTTACACTGCACAAGAGTAACCAGAAATAGGTTAGATTTGACTATGATAAAAGGTATGATAAAAGGGTTCAGTGAAAAGAGCTTAGAATTCAATGAAAGAAATGAAGTAATAGGATAGTGAAAAGGTGGAATATCATGAACCAAGACATTTGTTTAAAACATCCAATGAACTAATAATTTTTGGACCCCTTTATACTAATAATATTTAATACGAAATAACAAAATATATTTTGATATAAAAATAAAAATTTTTAAATGCAAAAAGAAAATGCAAAAGGAAATATTTTTACACTATTCTTCACTTTGATAACTGCAATCAGACAAGAAATGCAACTCCAATCCAATGAATAATGAAAGAGTAAAATAATTAATTGTAAATATACAATTTCAATTTAAAATATAAAAAGATAATTAAAAAATATTGATATTATTTTTACAAGAGGACCAATTACATATTATATTTTATTTATAATTCACGATGTGGTTTTCCAAGTTTATAAGCTTCATATACAAGGTGTCTCAGCAATATTAATACAACCGGCAGGTGGGTGATTCTACGTGAAAAATCAAATCGAAGATAAGGAATAAAATTTTTTCATTGGAAGCTTCGTTATCGAGAAAATCGAATTTGAATATTCACTGAGTGCGCGTGGACTTAACCTCAACTGATTGTTAGATGGGCGGAGCATCGGTATATCAGCGTTCTCAGTGAATATTCAAAATCGATTTCCTCGATAACGAAGCTTCGAATGAAAAAATTTTATTCTTCATTTTCGATTTGCTTTTTCACGCAGAATTACCCCCTCTTCTGGTTTACCCCAGATGTCGATGTACTGGCGGCTATCCATCTAATTGTAAGTCAAAGTTAAGTGCACGCGTTCTCGGTAAATATTTGAAATCGATTTTCTCGATAACGAAGCTTCGAATGAAAAAATTTTATTCTTTATTTTCGATTTGTTTTTTCACGTAGAATCACCCGCTTCACGGTTGTACTACCGTTGCTGGGACAACCCGTATAGCTACAGTAATGGAATCGTTGTTCGTTCGATTAACAGCTAAAAGATCGAGAGGAACTTTTTGCAATCAAGTAAATTCCAGTGACATCGTGAATACGTTGTATCGCAAGAAGTAAATAGGTGATATAGCTGCTGTGAAAACGAGGAAAGTCGAACGACTGGAGTGCTTTTAGCTTAGTAATGCCTGCGAGAACTACAAGACGATCAATTATGACAGTATTTACTGTGCAAACAGTCCGATCCAATGATTTAATGAAAACGCTCTGCTACCATTCAATTAAAGAGAATTTCCATCGAATCGATTCGTTCAATTTTTCAACTAGCAGCAAGAACCTCAATTAAGAAAATTAAACGAAAGCACTGCGAAAAAAGCAGTAAATTCTTTCGTTAATAAATACTAGAAGAAGGATATAATTTCTTCCTCGAAATTCGAAAGACTCGTTTAAAATTTTCCTCACATTTTCATGGATAAATTAGATTGTAATTTTAGAAATTAATTTTAACAATGAATTAAAAATTAAAAATTTATCGACTCATTTGGGAAAAATATATATGAAGCACGAATCGAAATAGGTTTCAAATCTCCTAATCCAAAAGCTTTTAAAAATTCGAATTTTTAAATTTATAAATTTTCAAAATTCCTAATTTTCAAATCAAAGCTTCGAACGTTTTTAATTTCCAAAGTTTTGAAGCATCGAAGCTTCAATAATTTCCAAAATTTTGGGACCACTAGCTTTTGAAATTCGAGAAATGCCAAGCCTCGAATCTTAAAAATTAATCATTCCCAGGTTTGGATATTAATAATTCTGAAATTTTCCGCACTTCTAATCCCCAGGCTTGCAGTTTCCAAGCTTCCAATTTTCAAACACCTAAATCCCGAAATCCTCGGATCTCCAAATTTCCAATCGCCCCAAACTCCCTGACGTCGAAACATTCAAATTTCCGAGCTCCCGATACGGATTCCACGATATTAAAAATATGGAAAAAAGGGTGAAAAAGGTGAAAAAAAGAGGGAAAAAGAGAGGGAAAAAATTGGAATACAATACCTGGTAATCCGGCGACGTTGGTTCCACAGGTCGCGCGACAACGAGCCGCACATGTGTGCCGGATTGTCGCAGAACTGCCGCAACCTGTTCACTTCCCATTCCCCGCAGATTGACATCTCCGATTTGCAATATATGGTCCCCGCTTTGCAGCCGATTATCCTGCAATTCGTGGCGCAGACGAACCGTGTTTAATTCGCGAATCGATCATGGTTAAATGTCCCTGCTTCGTTTATTTTATATTGTTCCCTCTGTGTCCACCGTATCCTGTTTTCTCACAGGGTATTTCGATGCCGGGATTTGGCACTTGCAAGTTCCATGCTTTCCGCTAACTCGATTTCCCGTCGTGTCGACAATAGGGTATGGAACTGTCGGGAATCATGGCGGGGGAAGAGCTTAAGCTAACCGGAAGTCATCCAGTTCACGTACAATTACTCATTGATTTAACCCTAAATCTACCGCGGTCAAATAGCCGGTGAATGAGAACGAAGATAAACTACGAGGGAATGGAACAATCAGAGATATTGGAAAGTTTATTAGGTATAAGAGAAGAAAAATCGCGGAATTTCTAATGAAAATTTTAAAAACCATTCGTTATTAAAATTTTAAATAGTATAATAGGGTTATTGTTAATACGGAAAGGTAGAATTTCAAAATTAATTTCGAGGTTTCTAATTGATAAATTACGTATATATAAAAAAATGAAATAGTTTGAGACATTGGAAAATTAATTAGGTATATGGGAAAAAAAATTGCGGAATTTTTAATGAAAATTTAAAAAACTATTCATTATGCAAATTTTAAAAATTATGATAGGGTTATTGTTAATACGAAAAGGTAGAATTTCAAAATTAATTTCGAGATTTCTAAGTGATAAATTACGTATATATAAAATAAGATACCTAATTAAATTACGTATTCCAAGATTTTAGAAATACTCCATGTCTTTCTGTCATCACAGAGTTTAAATATAACTAAAATACTAAGCCAAAAAATAAATAAATAAATAGAAATAAAATAAAATAAAAAATCCACAAAAAAGAATATTTTGCAAGAAAAATACCGATTAAAAAGATTCGTGTGCAAAATTTAATTTTGCAGAAATGGAAAAAATCATTACCGTGTTCGCGAAATTTGAATAAATTTTCGGTTAAATAAATTTTTTAAATGCATCGTTTTACAGACTACATCGCTAGTAAAAAAATATGTAAAACGAGAAAAATTCACAAAATAATAATAAACAAATAAATTAATTAATAAATTAAAAATGAAGCAATAAAAGCTTAATGCTAAGAGAAAAGTATGAAAATCGTCAACAGGGTTAATATCAAATAAGTAATAATTAAAAAGGAAAATTGGAATGTTTATGGAAAATTTAATAAACTCACTCGATCGGCGACACCTCCCGGAAGTATCGTCTTGACGACAACACCGGTGCTTCGTCCACCGACGATTCCGAATCCAAGACCGCTGCCATCGTTGATCAGATTTATAACTTCAACTTGAGCCCATTCCGTGTTCAGCTGCAACAGAACAAACACATAAATTTTAGCTGACGTTCCTGCCCGATCCGCCATTCTTCAGGCGCTTATCTTATCCTAAGGCAACGAGAAATCATTCAAAAGGGAAGGATCACACGGTAAAAGAAAACGATATATCGATATCAAACTCGCGATAGAAATCTGCGCGAGTGATACTCCGATGCTCGGCTCTTTTATTGCCAACTGGTCGGTATCTTCATCCCATTTCTTTCCCTTTAGACTATGATCTAAATATTTTTCTACGGGTGAATGCAGCAAAATATCGGGATTAAATTGTATTCCAAATATTTTAAATCTTAAGAAAATAAATAGTACAATTTTTCTCTGCGAAAATCGGTATTTCCTCCCTCACGAATTTATTTCTGGAATAAGTATTAATATAAAATTAATATTTCGTAGGCATATCAAAATGACCAAGATTTTTACTCATAACACGTGTTTAAAGCTGATAATAGAATTCGGAATGAAAATTATGATTTTATAAATTTCTTAAAATTTTTTAAAATATTTTTCAATATTTTTTAAATATTTTGTGTGTTTAAATTCGATAATGTTTTGTGGTTTATGGTATTTCTATGTTATTATTTTGTTTTTTTTTGAGTGAGTGGAGTTAAAATTCTCTGAATTCGATAATTAGCGCTGGAGACTTGGAATTTGAAGTAATTAGGAGCTGTCTGTTCGGAAAATTCAGAATTTGGAAACTGAGATTAGGAGTTAAGCTAGGAATTCGGAATGTGAGACTAAAAACTGTAAACGAGGCAGCTCGAAGTTTAGAATTTAGAATTTAGAACCTGAAATTGGGGGTCTGGGACTAGACGCTGGGAATGTGGAACCAGGACTTAAGAATTTCAGATCTGGTATTCGGAATCTGAAACTTGAAACCTGGAATCTCTGCTACGAAACAAGTATTCCGAAGGTGAAACAAAAAAGTCTGGTATCACGAGTTCCAATCTTCTCCAAATTTATTAACCCTCTGTGATCAGAATTCCGTTTCCTCTTAAATAAAGAACCTTGCATTTGATACTTAATTTTTATCGTAATCAAAAATAAAAAGATGTTTAATACAATTAAATCACAAATTTTTCACTTTCAATCTTATCTACACTTTTTAATTCTGGATAATCAGAATTTTCTCTGCTTTGTAGTGAAAGAATTACAGATGTATTACAGATTTTCACCTAAATATAAAATTACAAATTTGAAATAATTATTTACGAATTACAAGAAAAATAATTTTGTATTAAATTCCAAGCTTCGAATTTTGAACTTCAAACTTGTAAAACAGGAATACCTTTACATAATCAAAATTCTGTTCATTTTTAAAATATTTTCATCGAAATATAAAATTAAAGATTCGAAATAATTATCTACGAATCATAAGAAAAATTATTTTTATTAAATTCCAAGCTTCGAATTTCGAATTTCAAACTTCTATAAAGGGAATATCTATACATAATCAAAATTCAGTTCATTCTTAAATTAATTTTAAAAATCTACTAGTAAAAAAAATTATTTTCATTAAATTCCAGAGTTCCAATTTCGATTTTCAAACTTCTCCAAATGCAATACCTCTAGACAATAAAAATTCTGTTCCTTTTTAAGATAAACTACATACTTTCACCTAAATCTAAAATTAAAGATTTGAAATAATTATTCATTAATAACAAAGAAATTATTTTTTCTAAATTCCAGAGTTCCAATTTCTAATTTCAAATTTTTCCAAATACAATACCTTTACATAATCAAAATTCTGTTCACTCGTAACACTTTAGAAAACCATTACTATCGATCACTCCAGAATAAAAACTTTAAGCAGCATAATTCTCTCCAGAAAAGGGTTAAAAATACCAAACCTGAAGCACCGAATTTCAATTTACTCCACGTAAATCCCGTTTTCATTAGAGATAAGCATAATAGATCGTTTCGCCGCGGCATAATGGTGCATTCACAATACTCAGGAGCGGAAGAACAAGCGATTAAAATAAAATTAAAAGGCGAATCGAACACCTGTGCATACAGCGCGTGCATTTGTTGACACTGAAATGGCGGAATCTCGTTGTAATCGGAATAATACCCCGCGATATCAATTTTAACGCGTATTCCGTAGCTATTCCAGCACGGGGACGATGAAACAGGGAACGAAACGCAGTAATGGGATTTCATAAACGAACGTTTAACGCGTGCGTTGTATAAAGGCCGTATCATCCGGTCCCTGGCCGCCATCTTATAGCGTTTATCCGCGGTTTTAAAATGAACCGAGCGTCGCCGTTTTTCATCAGGGTCCGAATAATTTTACAAAGCACATGCCACGGTATGCTCGTAATTGTCCATTCGCTGGACCGTGGCAATTAAAACAAGATAAAGAGCGAATCTTCGTTCGCCTCTCTGCCTAACCCCTAGCTCTGCCAGGGCTCGGCCATGCCGAAGCGAGTTCGCAACGATTTCAGACCGATCCCAGCTTCCACCCATATGTCTGAACGAGTCGAAACGATCCAGGTGACAGCCAATAAGTTTTTATTATCGAACATTGTTGGCATCGTTATCGAAGTAATATTAATAAAAATATTGGAAAGGCTATGGGAGACAGCGGGGAACAAACGGGGACATTATTTCACCATTTGCTCGAGAAATGTGCCTTCAAATTGTAATACCTGCTATTTTCATCAAGACTTTCTACATTTTCCAGTTACTTCAAAGGAAGAATTGTTGTAAAATGGTATTAATTGCAGACTCGAAAGAGTAATTACTGCGGTGATGGTTAACATAAATTTTGAATATATATGTGTAGAATTGGGATGAGTACGGCCCTGAAAAAATGTCAAGAGTGTTTGGGTTTAGAAACCTTAAAAAATTCCAAAATACACAAAAATCGTTTTTCCACGTAGTATCAAAAATCCTTTTTACTTCCCTTTTTTTTATTTTTAATTATACTTTAATTCGCGTTAATCCTGTTGAGGATTTTGACAGTTTTCGTACTCAGTGTTTGTGATTTTCCTTTTATTTTATGGGTGGATAGTGTTATGTGGCCGTTTCTCGTTTTGCATATCTTTTACTGTATGTATGGAGGTGGTCTGTAATGTAGGAGATGTGTAATACAGAGGATGTTTTGACGTCAGAGAAAGGATTTGGATTTTTATTTTCCTCTTTGTCCTTTTGTTGCAAGTATCTGTTGGATAGATATATTTTTCCGGTTATTTGGTTGAAATTTTTATACCTGGTATTTTCACGGGGATTCTTGTGGATTCTGTGTTGATTTAAAAGAAACAAAAATTATTTTAGAAATAGTGGTGATTGATGAAATTTCGAAGATTTATTATAATAATATTGTCATAAATAAATGAAATAATTATTTGACATTTTGAGATTTGTGTCTTTAAATTATGATTAATATATTTATCAAAAGGATTTGTTGAATAAAATAATTCTTGTTTGAGATTTGTGATTTTAAATTCTGATGCTTAATTTGTATTTTGAAACTATGTTAAAAAAAAGAATTAGTATGAAAACGTTCACCAAATGTGTAGGAATAAATGAGAAATACCATTGTATTTTTGAATTTCATATGAAAATTATATTTTTAAATTGTCATTGATATTCTTTAAATTTTGGATTTTGAAATTATTCTAAAAAAAAAGGAGCGATTAGAAAAATAATATTCGCAAAGAATAGAAATTTTGTTATGTAATACCAACTTAAAAATAAATGAAAAATATTATTTCATCTTCTGTTCTATATCTTTTATTTTCCATTTTACTCTATATTTTTATCGAAAATATTTCGAATCGCATTGCGAGTAAATTTTATATCGGAAAAGTGGGAGAATTTTGAAGGTTTGAAAAATCGAAAAATAAAATTTGAAGAATTATTAGAAGTGACGCAAAAGTTGAAATTAGGGTTGCATGGCTTTTCAAAGAAATGTCACTGCTTCCTCTCTCTCTTTCAATTTTATTGCCTCGGGTATGTGCTATCCCGACAGATAACAAGATGCGTTAAAGTTGCAAAGAAAAATGTAAAAAGAGGCTTGATTCACTGTCGTCACCGAGGAAATTCGTGGCCCCGGGCCATCCTGAAACTTTCCATCGATCGACGACACCTGTGTCTGTTTGCTACACGTACACGGAATACACTGAAATACACTGCCTTCTGGAAAACAGGCAATGCTATCCATTGTGCAACAGTCTGGATGTGAATTTTCCAAGGATATTCAAAATTCTAATTTCTCTAAAAAAAAACTGTATATTTTCTATCAAATATTTCTTTCCTGCCATATTTTATATTTTTCTTCTATATTTTTATACACATGACTAATTGTTTTTATCTGAACTTAATTCGATAATAATTAAATATTATTTAATTAATAATTATTTTAACGACAAATAATTATTATTAAAAATAATAATAGAAAAAATACAGAATAAATATGCAAAAATACAGAATTCTTCCCTTTCCCAGATTTTTTGCTTAATAGGAAAAAATAAAATATTCCTATGCAGATGGATATATTCGTTTCGTTTAATCACAAAATAGTTGTATAAAATAGTAATAACAAAATAATTTAATAAAAAATAAAAAATTGTTATGCAAATGAATTTTCTTCCATTTAAAAATATTTTCTTAATACCTTTCCTATTTTTATGTTTATTAATCCTAATTAATAAATTTTAAAAATGAGCCTAGGAAATCTGAGAAATTTTTATGCGGAAGATTTCTCTTTTCTCCGATATTTTTCTTTCTCTGTATTTTCTCTACTCTTACGTTTGTCTATCCCCGTTATCTATGCCCCATTTCTAAGTTATCTAAGAACCCTTGCCAGGTCCATTGGCTCAGCGGTTGTCTTCCAGTTTTTATCCGAAAAATAAGTCGGGAAATGAAAGGAAACCGAGACTCGTTGAACTTAAAAATTTGAATTTCCTTTCACATTTTCTCCAGGCGATTTACCAAGTTGAAGTTAGTCGACGGAATCGATATCTGCACGCGTGTGC